TGATGTAGCTCGCAGCCTGGTCTCCAATTTGAGCGAGCGCGAGGATCGATAATTTAGCCTACTCTGTTGTTGAATTTCGAATTTTGACGTTACTTTAAAACCATGCAGGATGGTTGGGCTTTTTGCCTTAACTATGTCTGGCTGACACTCCCACTGTCTCTGCCGCCTGCACGGGTGACATGTGCCCGTTCATCAGGCCTTATCTTTCCTTGAAGCAAGGTTGCAATTCTGCCATCCTAGCCCTCCTCCAGTTCATTACTTAACAACACCTGGTGTTTTGCAGTTTGCTGCGCTTTGGTGTGTTTCATTCATTAAAAAAACAAGTAAAAAGATAATATATAAAAATATCATCAAATATTATTAATCTCAATTTTGGAAGAAGGGTTAGTATACAACAATACGTTCTGGAGATGCTCGTGAAGAGTAAATTTCATGGATAATGATATTGCCGTATGTGCGACGTCTGCAGATGCTTCTAAAGCTTCGAGAAGTTATCTCTCTCTATCTCATCATTTTATCTTCTCATCACTTTATCTCTCATCACTTTATCTCTTAAAACTTCATCTCATTACTTTAACTCTCTTTCTCTCTCAAAGTCGCGCAGAGTTGCAGATGCGATTAGCGCATAGCAGGTTTGGAATAACGAGCGAATCCTGTGTGGAATTGAGGGAGGTTTTGTCACATTACTAATACAGGTTTCCTTTGATATATGAAAGGGGTGTGTTCTTCAAAAATACACACAGTTAAATGAATTTTTTAAAGTCGGAACGGCTTTTCCTTTTAATTTAATATAAAAAGTAGGTATTGTTTAGAGCAGGGGTCCTCAAACTACGGCCCGCGGGCCACATGCGGCCCACCGAGGATATTTATCCGGCCCGCCGGGTGTTTTTTCCGCCGCTGCCTGTCTGTTACTTTTTTTCTACATGAGAAGGACGGTCATTGGTGAAAGAGGGAGAGGGGGCGGCCGCCGCCAAATGGCTGGCCGGCTAAAGCGCTGGATCATGGGAATTGTAGTCTGGCCGCAATCAAGCTTCAGGCGGTGGGAGGAACCGAACAGCGCAGCCGGACTACTACTCCCACCTCCCAGGACTCAGAGGAATCCAGGGCATGTGGGAGGAGCCGGCTGCGCGGTGACTTGTGGGCAGTGAAAGCCGGAAGCTGGTTCGTGGGAGAGAGAGCTCGGGAGACGTGACAGACTGAGCATCACAGCGCAGCCACAGTCTTTTAGAGCAGAGGCAGCTTGGAGGAAGTTGGCAGCATCATTACCCCCCAAACCGAAGAGGTTAGACAGATGACACCCACATCCCATGGTCACTAATTGGGCTTCGCTTGTGAGCACTAATTGGGCTGCGCTTGTGAGCACTAATTGGGCTGCGCTTGTGAGCACTAATTGGACTGCGCTGGTGAGCACTCATTGGGATGCGGTGGTGGGCACTCATTGGGCTGTGGTGGTGGGCACTGATTGGGCTGCGGTGGCGAGCACTGATTTGGCTGCGCTGGTGAGCACTGATTGAGCTGCGGCGGTGGGCACTCATTGGGCTGCGCTGGTGAATGGTTCAATGGGCCAATTGACTGGACTTGCCCCCCAGGCCTAAGGCTGCCAGCCCTCCCCTGGCTGTGCTTGACTGGCTCTCCCTCCCTCAGCTCCCTCACTTGCCCCTCGATTCCACTCCCAGTGATATTCCTGTGTGCTGGGGATGTAGATCCCCAGCACACGCACCGCTGAGTAAATGATAGAGGGGTAATAACAGAGTGATCTCTGATCTCTGGAGGGGCTGCCTGCTGTTTTCCCGTGCTGGTCAGTGACAGACAGCCGAGGAGTAGGAAACCCAATTTAAATGACAGTAAGTGCATTTATATCCTGATTGCTATTCAGTTGTATGAGGTTATATGTTGTATGTTGTGTAAGCCCCGGTACATACTGTTGCGATCTCTGAGCAGTGCGAGTTCAGCTATATGCTTGTATGGCTGAACTCGCATTAGATTCGGAAGAAAAAAGGCACATGTGCCTTCTTTTTTCCTGCAGTGGAATCGGATCGCATGGGTCTTCTCCCCCATGCGATCAGATTTCTATGCGAGTTCGCAGATCGCACTGCGATCTGTGAACAAAACTGCAGGTGTAATTAACTTTTTAATGGCACCCGCACCAGTGTGAGCCTGGGGTAAAAGCGAAGTTCCCCCAATCAGACTACATTGATGGGCAGTGCAGTCTGTATGTCTCTGTGTGGGCAAAGTTATTGCTGGTATATACCAGCAATAACTTTGCCCACACAGAGACATACAGACTGCACTGCCCATCAATAGCGCTGTATATATATTGGTATTTTACTAATAGCAATTTTGATTCCCTAGGAAACAATGATGTCAAGAAAGAGAAAAATTGACTCGCAGTGTAGGATATCCAAAGAACAGTGGACTTATGATCTACTTTTTCATGCAGTACAAGGAAAGAGCTGTGTGTCTGATATGCCAGAATATAGTGTCTATGTTCAAAGAATACAATTTACGTCGACACTATGAAACTCAACATAAAGATGAATACGATTGTTTGGTCGGAGAAGTGAGAAAAGATAAAATATTAAAACTGAAAAATACATTAACAACTCAGCAAAATACTTTTGTGAAGCAGAAGCAGCTAAATATTTCATCACTGCGAGCAAGTTTTCAAGTTGCCAAGCTAATAGCGTGCACTGGCAGACCATTCGTGGAGGGAGAATTTGTTAAAGAATGCCTTCTTTATGTTGCCAAAGAGATGTGTCCAGAGAAGGCCGATTTATTTAGTACAGTGAGTCTTTCAGGACCTACAATTACACGGAGGATTGAAGAAATGGGAGACAATTTGTATCAGCATTTGCAAAACTCCACAAAAAAAACTTTCCTATTTTTCCTTGGCACTCGACGAAAGCAATGATGTTCGTGATTCTGCACAACTTCTAATTTTTATTCGTGGGACGAATGACTATTTCGAAGTCACAGACGAGCTTGCTGCACTGCAAAGCATCAAAGGAACAACTACAGGAGAGGATATCTATGTAAAGGTTTGCCAAACTGTGAATGGTTTGGAGCTGAACTGGGCTAAACTAGCCAGTGTGACAACTGATGGTGCTCCTAGCATGGTGGGGTCTAAGAAAGGAGTAATTGCTCGCATTAACCAAGAGATGGACAAACATAACCATTCTCATCCAATAGCCATACACTGCCTCATCCATCGACAAGCGCTGTGTAGTAAATCACTGAAGTGGGACTGTTATGAAAATTGTGGTATCTTGTGTTAACTTCATTAGAGCTCATGCACTAAACCACAGACAATTTCAGGAATTTCTGTCCGAGCTAAATGTTGACTATGAAGATGTTCTGTACCACACAGAAGTCCGTTGGCTGAGTCGAGGGAGAGTTTTGAAACGTTTCTATGACTTACTTCCACAGATTACAGCTTTTCTGCTTTCAAAAAACAAAGAAGTACCAGAGCTCAATGATGCAGAATGGAAATGGCACCTTGCCTTTCTGACAGATGTAACAGAGCTACTCAACAGTTTCAATGTGCAACTTCAAGGAAAGGGGAAGCTCATCTGTGATATACAATCACATGTCAAAGCATTTGAAGTAAAATTAGGCCTCCTCATCAAACAAGTGAAGGAGGAAAACTTTTGCCATCTCCCCACAACTCAAAATCTGTTAGCGGAAAAACCATTGGTTGCATTCCCAAACAAAACATGTGTGGATTCACTGGAAAAATTGCAAAAGGAGTTCCAATTTAGATTTAAAGAGCTTCCATCTCCATGAACAGGACATACAGCTTTTCCGTAACCCATTTTCTATTGACATTGAAAATGTGGATACAATTTACCAAATGGAACTGGCTGAACTGCAGAATTGTGACTCTGAAAGACGCATTCAAGTCAAGCAGCCTTCATAATTTCTATGCATCTCTCCCCTCTGAGACATATCCTCATCTCAGGAACCATGCACTCAAAATGGCAACCATCTTTGGCAGCACTTATGTCTGTGAACAGACTTTTTCCAGAATGAAACATTTGAAATCTCCAACCAGATCTAGACTAACGGATGCACACTTACATCACTTGTTACGACTAGCAGTGACAAATATGGAACCGGACATTGACCATCTCATTAGCCAAAAGCAGGCCCATAGTTCCCATTGAAATACTGGCAAGTTTGTTGATTTAACTTTACTTGTTCTTCATTTTAAATATTGTATTTGTTCCCGTTTTGTTTCTTCACTTCAAAATAAAATATATGCAGTGTGCATAGGAATTTGTTCATAGTTTTTTTAACTATAGTCCGGCCCTCCAACGGTCTGAGGGACAGTGAACTGGCCCCCTGTTTAAAAAGTTTGAGGACCCTTGGTTTAGAGCAATAATTCCAACTCTGCTAACCTCACAATACAAAAATAATAATAAAGAACATAATACATTTTGACTTAAAACTTTCGTGACTGCAGGAATTCATATTCTGTGGTTCAGTCGGTAAAGTCACATAGAAAGAAAATAAATGTAATATTAGAATACGACGTTTTGATTGTAACACAAGCAACCGTCATCAGGTAGAACTAAATTTGAGAGAGAAACAAAACACAGACACGGAGACACACAGACAGACACAAGCAGAGATAGACAACACAGAGACACACAGAGAGAGACACACAACATAGACCCAATGCCTCTGTGTCGAGGCCTTAAATAGAGAGAGAGGGGGGGACAGAGAGAGAGGTGGGTCTGCTGGAGCAGCTGTTGGAGCAGAGAAATTAGCATGTCAATGAAAGACGGATAGATGATGCAGCCCTCCCGGGTGGCCTCTTCTTTGATGATGTCACGACTTGTGGCGTAGTGAAATTTTGTTTACGGGGAGAATCTGATTTAGTCAATCTAAAAGTGTCCATAGAGGAGGATTATCTCCAAAATTCTGGCTGTAATGGTGATGCTGAGGAATAGAGGGCATGCACCGGGAGATCAGGGTTTTGACGGTGCGGCCTGGCGCAGGCGGCCTGCTGTGTGTATGGGAACGACGCGGCCTCCTCCCCGCTCGACCAGCTCCTGCAAGTCGTGTTCGACATGAACCTACACCAGCTGCTCAAGGACTGCAGGCGAGGAACCTTCCTCTCACTCGCTCGCTCACTCACTCACCTTACAGGGAACTCGCTCACAAACTCACAGGGAACTCACTCATTTGCAGTGAACTCACTCACTGACAGGAACTCACTCACAGGAAACTCTCACCCTCACAGGGAACTCAATCATAGGGAACTCACTCACAGGGAACTCACTCACTCACAGGGAACTCACTCACTCACTCACAGGGAACTCACTCACTCACAGGGAACTCACTCACAGGGAACTCACTCACTCACAGGGAACTCACAGGGAACTCACTCACTCACAGGGAACTCACTCACTCACAGGGAACTCATTCACTCACGGGGAACTCACTCACTCACAGGGAACTCACTCACGGGGAACTCACTCACTCACAGGGAACTCACTCACTCACAGGGAACTCACTCACTCACGGGGAACTCACAGGGAACTCACTCACAGGGAACTCACTCACTCACAGGGAACTCACTCACTCACAGGGAACTCACTCACTCACGGGGAACTCACAGGGAACTCACTCACGGGGAACTCACTCACTCACAGGGAACTCACTCACTCACAGGGAACTCACTCACGGGGAACTCACTCACTCACAGGGAACTCACTCACAGGGAACTCACTCACTCACAGGGAACTCACTCACTCACAGGGAACTCACTCACTCACAGGGAACTCACTCACTCACAGGGAACTCATTCACTCACAGGGAACTCACTCACGGGGAACTCACTCACAGGGAACTCACTCACTCACAGGGAACTCACTCACGGGGAACTCACTCACTCACAGGGAACTCACTCACTCACAGGGAACTCACTCACTCACAGGGAACTCACTCACTCACAGGGAACTCACTCACTCACGGGGAACTCACAGGGAACTCACTCACGGGGAACTCACTCACGGGGAACTCACTCACGGGGAACTCACTCACTCACAGGGAACTCACTCACTCACAGGGAACTCACTCACTCACAGGGAACTCACTCACTCACAGGGAACTCACTCACGAACTCACTCACGGGGAACTCACTCACGGGGAACTCACTCACTCACAGGGAACTCACTCACTCACAGGGAACTCACTCACTCACAGGGAACTCACTCACTCACAGGGAACTCACTCACAGGGAACTCACTCACAGGGAACTCACTTACAGGGAACTCACTCACTCACAGGGAACTCACTCACTCACAGGGAACTCACTCACTCACAGGGAACTCACTCACTCACAGGGAACTCACTCACAGGGAACTCACTCACAGGGAACTCACTTACAGGGAACTCACTCACAGGGAACTCACTCACTCACAGAGAACTAACTCACTCACTCACAGGGAACTCACTCACTCACATGGAACTCACTAACAGGGAACTCACTCACTCACAGGGAACTCACTCACTCACAGGGAACTCACTCACTCACAGGGAACTCACTCACTCACAGGGAACTCACTCACTCACAGGGAACTCACTCACAGGGAACTCACTCACTCACAGGGAACTCACTCACGGGGAACTCATTCACAGGGAACTCACTCACTCACAGGGAACTCACTCACAGGGAACTCACTCACTGGGAACTCACTCACTCACTCACAGGGAACTCACTCACTCACAGGGCACTCACTCACAGGGAACTCACTCACTCACAGGGAACTCACTCACTCACAGGGAACTCACTCACTCACAGGGAACTCACTCACTCACTGGGAACTCACTCACAGGGAACTCACTCACAGGGAACTCACTCACTCACAGGGAACTCACTCACAGGGAACTCACTCACTCACAGGGAACTCACTCACTCACTCACAGGGAACTCACTCACTGGGAACTCACTCACTCACTGGGAACTCACTCACAGGGAACTCACTCACTCACAGGGAACTCACTCACAGGGAACTCACTCACTCACTCACAGGCAACCTGTTCTATTCGACGCAACTATATTAGAAGTTAACAAGTTAATAATCATTTGCGTCATTATAGGAATACAAGTCACAGAATACGCATGTGTTCTGAGATGGGAAGGAGGCGTGTATTGTGCATATTGTCACATGTGCTCTCCGTGGTGCTGACGGTGGTTTTTGCATTTTGAGACTGAAAGGGGGGGTGCTTGGTGTGGGACACGTTCAGTGCGGTGGCCTTTGTGGATTGCCAACTCACCCAAATGTTCTTATTATCTCTTTGCAGCTTGGCGCTTAACAACTGGTGGTTCGTGGCACATCTCAGTGACCTGCTGCATCACTGTCAGCAACTCCAGTAAGAGCCAGCGCCTCATGCTACGCGTATAAAAGACAAAGATCCGCCATATAGCTTTTCAACTACTCGCTAAGAGCACTTGCTCCAACAGTGTTAAATGCTATGTGGGGGATCTTTGTATTTTGTATGTGTGGGGTCAAGGGATGGCTCCTAACTGGTCAACTTTGTTGCGTATGCTAATGGTGTGGGAATTCATATTCTTTGAGTCTTTCATTAAAGCCACGTAGATAGAAAAGAAAAAAAAATAACAATATCACGACGTTTCAATCGCAACACAAGCAATCGTCATCAGGTGAATAAAGAGGGGGAAAGCTGCTGAGGCAGGCTGTTTATAAAGGTTTAGAAATGGGCGGGGCGGCTAATGTTAATGTAGGAATGATTATTCACTTGTTTCTTTCTAATATAGTTGCATGGGAATTGGTGTTCACTCTGATAATTAGTTGGAGAAATCTACTGCTGGACCTGGAGTATGCCACTAAGAGGTGGGGCCTTATCATCAGCCACCAAATCAGAGCGCCTACCTGGGTATTTTATCCCATCAATTCCTCCGCCACCTCAACTCCTGTTTGGTTAACTGGGGCAGTTGTGGAGAGAGTGGAGGCGTTCCCATACATGAGCAGTGTGCTTAAGACCAGCTCCAGAGGTCTCAATCTGGATCAGTTTAACACGTAGTAGTTGAAGGTTTCCTCGACCAATATTATCCATAATAAAGGTTTTTTTGGGTTAGATCGCGTAAACATAAATGTATCAATAAACCCACCACCACCCGATACAGCCAGTTAGTAAGGTTTGTCATGTAAACAAAACATGCCAATTAGTTACTCGTTCAGTAACTAATTGGTAATGAGTTGGCATGTGTTGTTTACGTGACAACCCTTACTAATCTGAATCAGTTTAGGCAGCATTATATTGAATCAGTTGCATAATGCTCTGTGGGTGCTACCTGCTCCTGTCGGTCCGTATGAAACACCGGGCCTTCTTGGCCACATTTATATGCCCCCTTTTCTCCATTCTTGCAAAACGTGGAGTCCTTTGAAGGAATAACTGCACAAGCTTGAAACATTCAGGCTGATAATTGTTTTTTTACCCTTTTATCTGGCAACAAAACTGACACCATGTTTTTACAAGGAGTCATGTTTGCATTGACCACAATACTTGCGGTCGGAATGCAAACAAAAAACACAACTCTGATAATGTATACACTGTCCTTGAAATTGATTGGTCCACACCCGAGACAGCTTTTCTTAGAGACTAGTCTCACATGGTGTTGGACCAGATGACGCCAAAAGGCGCACAACTCAAAGACAATGCACCATCAGAGTATGAGAGCTCGGGGAAAGCATTTACACCATTGGAACCTCTTTAGTCAGTAGCAAAATATGATAATTGTTTTTTTACCCTTTTATCAGGCAACAAAACTGAACCTTTTGTGGACCAATCAATTTCAAGGACTATACGTATACATTATCAGAGTTGTGTTTTTTGTTTGCATTCCCACCGCAGGTATTGTGGTCAATGCAAACATGACTCCTTGTAAGAAAAAAGTGTCAGTTTTGTTGCCAGATAAAAGGGTAAAAAAACAATTATCATATTTTGCTACTGGCAAAGGATGTTCCAATGGTGTAAACATTCAGGCTGGTCTGTCCACGATCTAGCCTGGGTTTAACCAGAACATTATGTGAGGCGCTCGCAGATTTTGAAAATAATCTATACACAGTCCCATCAATGAGCTCCTCCGGCAGGCAATGTGTGTTCGCTGGGAAATGTAGCCCGCATGTCCAGCCCACCGCATGCCCAAGCAGCTTATGTTTGACTGGATAGAGGGGTCTAAACGGGCACAACACATGCTTGTGAAGAGATGGACTGATGAGGTATGAGAGGATGTCGAGCTGAGTGGACTCGCTAAAAATTGGTACCAGCCGTGTCAAAATCGGCCTCTCCCATAACACTTGGGTCTGTCCCATGACCTGCCTGCAAGAGCCTTAAATACTTCACATGACAACTTTAAAATACTCCTAGCCTTGAACACTCCAATTAAATTTTAACTCTTGATTAGTGGGCTAATGTATATATGAAAAGTTAAACATTTCATATATACATTACGAATGGTGAAAAAAAAGTTCAACAAACATGAATTAGCACAGTTCGCTACGTACGGTGCGAAATATTTTCAACATACATGCGAAAAATAATTTCAACGTACATTAGCACGGTTGGCTACGTACGGTGCGAAAGAAGTTTAACATACATACAAGAGCTGTGGTGATGTTGCTGCCACTTAGTGGTGCAAGGTGGCAGTTGTATATAAGTATCTATATCGGTGCTATCGTATACCAGTGTAGTGAGTCCAACTGAGTCGCAGACGTTATCTTGGGAGCAACACTATTTATTACACATTAACACGCAACACAACACGATCTGCACTCGGGTCTCGAATGCCCATATAACCACGCTACAGCAGAACTAGACACGGTTCGCTATCCCGGTCCGGACCACAAACGGGGTCCCAGACCGCGTGGCTAGAGGCTTCTCCCCGACGTGGATCTTCGTAATACCAGCACACGAAGAACCTCGAGTTCCTCATGGGGCCCTCGTTATATGCCCCTGGGCTGGGGCTGGCTCCGCCCTTCGCCCCGCCCACCTTCCAGGTCTCTCGAGCTCCTTCTCGAAGGTTCCCGAGAGCTCCTTCTCGAAGGTTCCCGAGAGCTCCTTTGGACCACGTGACCGCCCCATGGCCCCTGTCCATCGGTGGCCCCCCTCCAATATTGTCCGGTCACGTGACAGCAGGTCAACCAGCGTATCATGCCCAAAGGTAACCCTGGCTAGCTGACGCTCCCTCTCGCTCCCTCACCGGGAGCCCGCACCGCACACTGCTCGCGGTGCCTCCGCGCTAACCAGCGCTCACCCAAGCCCCACTAGGGCTGGTACTACAGCCTGTAACCCGGGCTGCCCGTAATAACAACACATTATCCGCCGTGGCTGGCTTCGTAAGCCCCGGCACCATACAGTGACAAGCACAGTCACTACACGAGTGCGTGTGAGTGTGTGCTTGGTCGTACAGTGGTTATCGCGCTGCGCTACAAACCTGAATACCCGAGTTTGATTCTCACTCACAGCCAAGAACCAGTCCTGGGCCTCCTCCCCTAGGTTGAGTCTGGTGCTGGCTACCTACCCCTCGTGTGCCGTGCTGGCCTTCATAGGTGCTCGCTAACTTCACTTGCCCCAACAGTCTATTAAGGCTATACGGGGGATCTGTGTCTTTGTGTGCTGTGGGTCATGTGTAATTGTGAATTAGCGGTTGTGTTGCAGGTCGGGCACCAGTCTGCGTGAGTTCCTCCTCCTGGAATTCGCCACGAACCTCATGGCGCATCACAGGTAGGTTTTCTTTATAACAAGCTCAACTACATTTAATTACATAATTATTGAGTACATTGAACATTCACTTCATTCTCACGACGGAAGGCACTGCTGGCTTTCACAGACGGTCTGAAGTATCTATGTACAGTAGAACCTCTGGTCACGACCATAACTTTGGTTGCAACCCGATTTGGTCGTGACTCGAACATAATTTCCCCATTGGATTTTATGTAAATACGATTAATCCGTTCCAAACTCCTATGAACTGTATATAAATATTGTTTTTTAAAGATTTTTAAGCACAAAATAGTTAATTATGCCAAAGAATTCACAGTGTAATAGTAAACTAAATGTAAAACATTGAATAACACTGAGAAAACCTTGAACAACAGAGAAAACTAACATTGCCGCGTCAAGGTTTAGAATCGTTCAAAAAGATGATTGTTTCGTCTGCTACATCAGTCGGTCGATTCTGCGAGAGAGAGAGAGAATATTCGTATGAGCAATTCATGTTTCTATTGAAAGTAAGTTAACAGTAATATTTTGGTACAGTATTGTTTTTGGAAGCATTCACCGTAATATCGTATGAACGTTTACTTCACCGCATCATTGTATGAATGATGTGAGAAGAGATTAACGGGTTCTAATGTTATCGATTTACATACTCAGCGCTTTCGCTCTCTAAATTACGGCTTGAATGAGGGGGGAGGGTTATGAATACACTCACACAATTAATATCTTCCTAGGAATTTTATATAACAAAAGTTGTATACATAACTGTTACGTCTTGTGTAATTCAACAAAACAAACAAAACTTAACTCCGAGTTCTCTCTGAATTCACGACAGGAAATTTGGCGCTTACAAAAAAAAATGGCGCGGAAGGGGAAATCGGCCGCGGCCGTGTTTGATCGCCACCCGAGTATGTGTTCGTGACCAGATTAAAAAATATTGTGAATTTTTTGGTCGGAACCCGATTTGGTCGTGGTCAGAAGCGTTCGTGATCAGAGGTTCTACTGTATGGGTTATTTTTGCCCATATATACATACACAGATAGCATGTTTCTTTGCATATTTTGGCACAAGTATGTGTGGTTAATGCAGACTTGATGCCTTGTAAAAGGTATCTATTTGGTGTTTGAACATCTTAACTCCTCCTGTTTTATTGCCAGAAAGGGTAAAACCTTTACTTATTTTTAATTCTTTGCCCAAAAGTCCATTGTTTAAGACTGTGGTGGTGGTGGCGGTTCTGGCCGTGATGGTGGTGATGGTCATGGCGGTGATGGTGGTGCCTGCGGTGGTGGTGGTGATGGCGGCGGTGATGATGGTGGTGGTGAAGACGGTGGTGACAGTGGCGGTGATGGTGGTGGTGACAGTGGCGGCGGTGATGGTGGTGATGGTGGTGGCCGTGGTGGTGGTGATGGTCGTGGCCGTGGTGGCGCTGGCCGTGGTGGTGATGGTGGTGGCGCTGGCGGTGGTGGCGATGTCGGTGATGGTGGCGGTGGTTGCGGAGATGGTGGCGGAGATGGTGGCAATGGCAGTGGCGGCGGTGATGGTGGTGGTCTGTTTGTGTTGGTGCGGTGCCGCAGCCTGTGGAGCCTGGCGCCGGTGTACCTGGATGCGTGCGGTGAGGAGGGCCGCGCTGTCATGAAGCTGTGGCTCGTGCGGCTGCCCCTGCAGAGCGAGCGCAAGGCCCAGAAGGTGCTCAGGATCTGCCAGGAGAGGAACTTGCAGGAGCAGGGTAAGATCTTTGTTTTTTGTTCTTCTGTACACAGTATTTGCCTGCCCACAGGCCTTTAAGCAGAAAGTGGCCCTTCAATAAGCAGGGATGTAGTTCGTTTAACGCAGGGTGTAAAGGAGTTCCAGCCCAGGGAAGTCTTTAATTTAGACTTCGTTCCGTCTTCAGCACAGTACGTCCGTCACCCATCAGGGAATTACTCTGTTGGAGGAGGCGCTCCAAACCCCTTCTATTGGCTCCTTCAATCCCCTCCTTGGTCCTTTCTGGAACGCTTTTCCTTCCAATATTAGGAAGCAACTGGAGCTGTGCACTGTTAAATCATCTAGTTTGAAACTAATCTCTTTAGAAATGTTGTTGTGTTTAGTTTATTGTCCTTCACCCTCACAATCCTGATTAGCATGGTTGGCTATGTACGGTGCGAAAGAAGTTCAACATACATACATTAGGACGGTTGGATACATACATTGCGAAATAAGTTCTACATTCATACATTAACACGGTTGACTACATAAGGTGCGAAAAGTTCTACATGCATACATTAGCATGGTTTGCTGCGTATGGTGCGAAAGAAGTTCAACATACATACATTAGCACGGTTGACTATGTACGGTGCGAAAGAAGTTCAACATACATTTATTAGCATCGTTGGCTATGCACGGTACGTTAGAAGTTCAACACACATACAAACATACATGGAACTTTGCCCGACTCTCCACTGATCCTCTTTATTTCACGTAAAAGGCTCTTTCCAATGACCCTGATGACTAATCCGATTTGGATGGTTCTCCACCCTCCAGTCAGATTGAGCACCCTACGTCCAGCAGCTCTTCCCCCTGTGAGAGCTCCTCACCAATGAGAGTCGAGCGTGCTATTTAAATTGACGAGCCAACAGGCCCGTATGAGTATTGATTTATTTATTTTCTGAATTTGGTTCACCTCTTTGCGTCCCTTGCATAGGCAACCCTGGATATATACGGAACGGAACCGGTCCTGAGAGGTTATCTGCAAAGTGAAATTCTGTATGTCGAAGAATAGGTTTTACCCTTTCTGGCAATAAAACAGGAGGTGTTAAGATGTTTAAACATAAGAGGTTGATCTTCTGTTGTGGCTTTATTTAGGCACGGGAGGGGGGGGAAGGGGGGTGGGGTTTGTAGAGTCGTAGCTGCAGGAGTTCACGGGGGAGAGGGGGGAGGGTTTGTGGCGTGCAGGGACGGGTGGGGGCTGGAGAAATTAGCATGTCCATGAATTAGTAGATAAAAACAGCACGGGTGGGTGAGTGAAAATCACAGCAGTCAAAACTTGATGTGGTTTATCACGTCCGTCCAATGATTGCTCCATCTGATTCCATCTCCTCGATTAAAGTTTTGTCTGTGTTTGTATATCTGGATGGCTACATCAACAAATCTCTGATGGTAGCCCGAGGGTTTGCAGAGCACCTTGTTCTCGGAAAAAACAATGTCATAGCGTTGAAACAATGATCCACCACCGAGGTGTTGGTTCTACCGTGTTTCAAATCCGCTTTGTGTTCGTGAACCCGGGCTGAGAAATGTCGCTTCGTTTTAATAATGTAACTGCTGCCGCAGACACAACTCAGCTTATAGACACCAGGACATTGTATGTCCGGAATCGCATCCTTCACCGATGGGATCAAATCACAGATTTTGTGTACTGTATTGAACCGAACTTGGATCTTGTTTTTCTTCAAGATTTTGGAAATCCTTTTGGTGACCCCTGCTATGTATGGTAAGGTGATGGTTTTGATTGGGTCCTCAGATGATTATCTACCTATGGTTGGAGATGCAGCTTTGCGGATTGTGCAGTCAGAATATCCATTCCTCCTAAGAGCCTGGCGTACGTGCTCAAGCTCACTGGCTAGGCGGTGTTGGTCGGAGATGCAACGAGCCCTATGGTGTAGTGTTTTGATGAGGGAATTCTTCTGGGCTGGATGGTGGATGGAGTCAGGCTTTAGATAGGAATCCGTGTGGGTGGCTTTCCTATAGACAGTGTCCCAATGAGCCATCAGGTCTCTTCTCGATCAAAACATCCAGGAATGGTCGCTTGCCATCATTTTTCACTTCCATGGTGAATTTTTAGATGGGTGTATGGAATTGATGTGGTTGAGAAATTGGTTCAGTGCTGGCAGGCCATGTGGCCGGATGACGAACGTGTCATCTACGTATCTCTTCCACAAGGAAGGACGTCGGGTGGATGTCTGGATGGCATCTGTGTCAAATTTCTCCATGAAAACATTCGCTACCACTGGTGATAGGGGAGAGCCCATTGGGGTACCTTCATTCTGTTTGTAGGAAGTACCATCACAGGTGAAGTATGTGTTGGTAAGGCAGTGCCTTACCAACAAAGGTACATCAGGATTCAGTCCCTGTTGGACCAGGTCTTCAATGGTTGCAATAGTATCAGGTACGGGTACCTTGGTGAAGAGGGAGACTACATCGAAACTGACGAGCAAATCCTCCGGGGATAGTGATATGTGCTTGATTAGTGAAACCAAGTGGGCCGAATTAAGTACAGCTGAGGCGATCTTGCCCGTGAAGGGAAGCAGAGTCTCAGTCAGCAATCGTGCCAGTCTGTAAGTGGGTGAGTTAATGGTGGAGACGATAGGACGGAGTGGAGTACCCTCTTTATGGATTTTTGGTAGGCCGTAAAATCTGGGTGGTCTAGCAGCCGAAGGTTTTAGAGAGACCTGTTTGGTGGGTTCGATTAGGGAAGTCAAATTAGTGATTATTTTGTTGGTTTTAGTAGCCAGGCTAATGGTAGGGTCTCTATTAATTTTGGTATAGCAGCCATCATTGAGAGGGTCCTAAATTTTGTTGTTGTATGTGGTTTTATCCATGATGACAGTGGCATTGCGCTTGTCGGCTGAGAGGATGACAATATCAACTCTCTTTTTCCAAACGCTCGTCCTTGCTGATGTTGCTAATGGGTTTCTTAGCATTCTTGAGGATAGCGATTTCAGATCTTGCAACGTCTACCGGGATGTGTCTCAGATCTTTGAGGGCTACGTCGATCTGGGCAATGGTGTCATCCACCAGGATGTGTTTGGGCGTGACTGCGAAATTCAACCCCTTAGTACCGATTTTAGGCTGTCAGAAATTGGGCTGTTACTGTGATTTATAACAATCTTGTTAACATCTAACTTTTTCAAGTGTGGTTTGGATTTCTTTTTTGACAGGAGGTTGAATTTGGCAATCAGGTTAACTCTTGCTTTTGGTTGACATTGAAGCAGTTGAAAAAATAGTCATGTTATCTACATGGTCCCAATCAGATGTGAACATTTTGTCTGTTAATGCTAAATGTGATTGTAAGAGAGTCTTGTCTAACAACAGCAGATAATTATTTCTCACCTGATGACGGACGCTTGTGTTGCGACCGAAACGTCGTATTTTCTTTGATTTTTATATCTACGTAACTTTACCGAAAGAACCAGAGAGTATGGATTCCTGCAGTCACGAAAGCTTCAAATCAAGATTTTTGGGTTAGATCGTATACATATTTAAATGTGTCGTTAACCCACACTCATCTATGCTAACCCACACTTCAAATTTATACATGTTGCAAGGCATCAAATCTGTATTAACCACACATACTTTTTTCAAAACATGCAAACAAACATGCTCTGATGAGAGAATGTCTGTTATCTTTTGCAAGAGTATGTCCTGGGGGGGTAGGCCTTCATATGTGCTACTACTCGCTAACAGCACTTTCCCCAAGATTAAGTGAAAGGCTTTGCGGGGGATTTTTGTCTTTGTTGGTATCCCAGCTCGCGGGATCTGCAAGGAGATGGCGGTGAGGGCAGTGCGCTCGGGGAGACTCGGACTCGCGCTCAACTGGAGCCTCCGAGCGAAAGATCCTGCACTCACCACGGCACTGGCCGACCGGTACACTCCACCGCACTCCACCAATCTCCACTACATTCTCTCATGTTCAACCATGCTCGTCCACGCTCCACCGAGCTGCTCTGTGCTCCACCGTACTCCTCCACCACCCTTATCCACACTCCTCCACAATACTCCACCCTCCTCCACGCTCAACCGCACTCCACCACGCTTATCTACACTCCATTACGCTCCTCCATACCCCACCACACTCCTCCATGTTCCTCTACGCTAACCCACACTCCTCCATGCTCCTCCATGCTATCCCACACTCCTCCACGTTAACCCACACTCCTCCACGCTAACCCACACTCCTCCATGCTAACCCACACTCCTTCGTGCTAACCCACGCTCCTCTATGCGAACCCACACTCCTCCACGCTAACCCACACTCCTCCATGCTAACCCACACTCCTCTACGCTAACTCACACTCCATGCTAACCCATACTCCTCCACGCTAACCCACAATCATCCACAGTATCCCACTACTCCTCCACGCTAACCCACACTTCTCCACACTCCACCATGCTAACCCACACTCCTCCATGCTAACCCACACTCCTCTACGCTAACTCACACTCCATGCTAACCCATACTCCTCCACGCTAACCCACAATCATCCACAGTATCCCACTACTCCTCCACGCTAACCCACACTTCTCCACACTCCACCATGCTAACCCACACTCCACCATGCTAACCCACACTCCTCCACGCTAACCCACACTCATCCACACTGACCCACACTCCTACATACTCCTCCACGCTAACCCATGCTCCACCACACTCCTCCACGCTCCTCCACTTTTCTACACTCCTCTAAGCTTTTTTATGCTCCATGTTGTATATGTTGGGTATGAAAATTTGTTATGTTGTATGCGTGCGTGGGTGAAATTATTATGTTGTATATGTGGGTTATGAATATTCAGTGGAAATAATAATAATTAAATGAAATTTGGCCAAATGTGTAATTATCCGGAAATATGTTAATTTATGTAATTACGCACATTTTAATTATGCCAATTCGAGAGGTAATCGTATTAATTATGCGAGTGGGTGTAATTATGATAACGCAAGTCGTTATGATAACCAGACCCCGGTTCACCCCGTTATCGCTTTAACATTTACTGAGTATGTATTAGTGTGTTTATTAAGGTCACCAAGTTCAAATCTCAACGCAGAAGCAGATCTTATGCATAGATTTCAGGAAAGAATCACACAACCACTTCTGTATTGATCAATTTATTACTAATTCAACCTTAACTATGATATAGTATGCGAACTCTCAATCCCGGAACGTCAATACGGCATCAATACAGTATCATCAACGATTGTCTGATTTCACTTTGACAACGGCACATGGATCCGCATAACGCGATGGTTGTTAGTGAGAGAGAGAGTCGTTAAAACATGCAAATACTATGCTAAGAAAACCTTAACGTTAATGAATGATTATACTCAATATTGTTCACGCAGTACCGCACTCCTTATTGATCATACGCAACCCTTATCACGTTGTTAACACCTTGGGTCACGGAACAGTTGAATATTCTGTAGAGGATGCGAGTACGTGCGGCGATTATGACTGAAAGATACGTGAAAGATTATACGGCGATAAAAAAAAATACAATCAAAAACAGTTATTATTCTTAAAGGCACCAATCTCAACAGATACATCGGCAGGTTATCTGACAACAGAACGGCTCGGAGTAAGGGCCTGCGACGGTGCTCCTTTTCCGAAGCTCGTTATCTTATACCAAGTTTACTAATTGGGGACCAGATCACCTGATAAGGATCCGGTGGGCCACCACTCCCCACGTGAGCGTGGCTCGGCGGAAGGAGGTGCCAAGAATCAGTTCGTATTGATGGATCTGTTGGGAATTATGCGATTAAGAGTACAGCCCACTAAATATTAAAGATAAAAATTAAGAATACTCTTATAAACGACGGAGGGCCATCACTCGGTCTCGTTGTGATGCTTTCCAGCCACGGATGGCTTATGGGTTCGAGTGTTTTTGAGTGGTAAGAGTTGTCTTGAATAGTCAGTGTTCGGAGTCGATTCTTTAGGTCAAACAGACGCCTGGTGGTCGTGTGGTGAGGGGGCGGTGCGCGTCATACGTGTCAGTCGATCCCGTGGCGAATTGGTTCGGATGGCTGTTGATACGCTGTCGCAGTTCGGAACCCGGTCGGTAGGTGGCGCCCACAACTCGCTCGTAGCGTGCAGCGCTGGATCGTCGCCAAACCGCAACGATCACCACTCCGGCGGCAGCAGAGATCTCCGGCGGCAGCAGAGATTGACGAGCTGAAGATGAGTCGAGCCGACCCGCTGGTCGCAGCTTGCTCCTGAGTCGACCCTCCCGGTCGAGCTCGCTCCTGGGTCGACCCGCTGGTCGCCCTCGCTCCTGAGTCGACTCTCTGGTCGCACTCCTGAGTGGACCCACTGGTCGCACTCCTCCTGAGCCGACTCCCCCGGTCGCGCTCCTGAGTGGACCCTCTCGTCACACTCGTTCCTGAGTCGACCCTCCCGGTCGAGCTTCTGAGTGGACCCTCCCGTCGCACTGGTTCCAATGCTCAGGATCTTTTACTTTATGCCGAAAAATCCCCCTGGATCCCGCCCACAAGGCGGGGCTTCTTTTCGATTTTTGCTGTGTCAGGATCTGTCCGTAGGCAGGTGTGTCCATGTGTCTGTCCGTATGTCCGTGTGTCCTTGTGTGCATCACTGACGGTATATTCGTTGTCACACTCCCTCCATAAAACCCACGAGCAAACAATCAGATGTTACAAATTGCCTCGAAGTCGTCTCTCTGTCTGGGTGCAATATTATCTCTTGTCTGGCCTTCTTCATGACCCAAAACACAGACGTTACAAATCGTCTCATAGGCGTCTTTGTTCGTGTTGCACAACCTGGAGGGAGGGGCAACACTCTCTCCGACCCGGCGCACAAAGAAATGGTTAAAAAGTTTTAAGTTAACATTTGTCCCTTACTATTTCACAGTTATGATTCTGTATGTAACCTAAGGTCTGTCGTTTCCCATCGTGGTGCCCGACCCAAGTGTAGGTGTTTCCCCGAGCGTACACACACTCCTATCCCGCGCTGCGGGGATACAAAGACGGCCGGGATCTCCCTTTCTCTCCGACCCTGGGTTTAACATCGTTTTTTTTATTATGTATTTATATTCGACCTGGTGGTGATTCATCCCGTTATCCTGGCTTTTCCATAAGTTTTACTTTTGTCTTTCATGCATATACTTATTACTATTAATTTATTTCCGATATCTTAGGTTAAGGGGTAAGTTTCTTGATCCTAGGAATTCGTATTCCTTGGTGCCTGGATGGTTATATAAGCGGAATATAGTTTACGGTGAATAGCGTTAACATTGATGTTATGTGCGATATTATGTATTGTGATGTCTTTAACTTAACTTGTTTGTCAGGGCTTTACTGACACGAAGTTGCATTCATAGCCCGCAGTCTTTGCCCCACCCTATCTCTGCTCGCCGTTGTTGTTGCCGTCCAGCTGCCGTTAATTCAAGGCCTCATTAATTTCCGTCACTCCTGAATAGGTGAGGGCGGTTGAACCTTGGAGTCAGTTCTGGTTTTTGTCTGCCTGCTTCTTCTTGTGTCCCCTGACCCCGGGAGTTATTATTCTACTTTATGGCCTGTCGAAGCCCCACTCGCTGTTGCTGGGCTGGTGTTGTTCCCGGCTTTTTGCTTACGTTTGCAGTTCGCCGTGCTCTTGATTTCCTTCCCTCTTCAACCTTATATTGACTATTCGCTCCTGTCTGGGTGCGATTCAATTTTGACTTAGGAAGGTTCTGATTGTCATATGCTTCGGGTCGAGTTGTATAGAAAGTATTGAAGTATGGAAATAACATTTCATATTGACTTAATAATGGTGATGGTTCAGTAGGCGTAACTTGTGGCCTGGTTTAATTGGAGTGGGTGTGAATATCGATAACTTTAGCCTACCCTGTTGTTAAGTTCCGACTTTAACGTTACTTTAATAGCAATACAGAATAATTGAGCTTTTTGTCTTAACTAGGCGAATGCGAACTTCTGGTGACCCCCGCAGCCTTGTTATTCAGCTGGGTCTGCCTCCTTGAGAGATATACACCACTCTTATTCTCGTCTCACTGTGGTCATCCAACCTTCTGCTCTGGGAGTGTTATTCTTACTTTCAGGTCAAAGGCCCCTTCACGTTCAGACGTGCAGGGTTGTTTAAATCAGCTCCCTCCCCTATGCACACAGCCTTGAGCTGACCCACTTGTTTTCGTTCCCTCAGCTGCAGGAGGACAAGGCGTATTTCTACCTCCCCCCTGTGTGCACGTGTTCCAACTAGCTCGGAATCCCTAAACACACAATCAGTGATGATTCCTGGCTTTCTGTGGTTGTGATTTAGACAAAGGCGCCTCTGTTTCTTCCATTGCCTTTGAGTCGACACTGCCCTATTATTTGCCCATGTGCTGAGGTCATAGAATTCGTTTTGACTTCAGTAATATTAACATTCAGTATTGGATTAGCAAATGGCAATGGTTCATTGATGTAGCTCGCAGCCTGGTCTCCAATTTGAGCGAGCGCGAGGATCGATACTTTAGCCTACTCTGTTGTTGAATTTCGAATTTTGACGTTACTTTAAAACCATGCAGGATGGTTGGGCTTTTTGCCTTAACTATGTCTGGCTGACACTCCCACTGTCTCTGCCGCCTGCACGGGTGACATGTGCCCGTTCATCAGGCCTTATCTTTCCTTGAAGCAAGGTTGCAAATTCTGCCATCCTAGCCCTCCTCCGGTTCATTACTTAACAACACCTGGTGTTTTGCAGTTTGCTGCGCTTGGTGTGTTTCAATCATTAAAAAAACAAGTAAAAAGATAATATATAAAAATCATCAAATATTATTAATCTCAATTATGGAAGAAGGGTTAGGATACAACATACCGCCCTTTTAAAAATGACCAGTGGTCAAATGGCCACGGGTTATTTTAAAAAAAAATATGTATACCC